CCCCGCCGTCGCCGCCCCCGCCGCCCTTTTGGTTTTCGGATTCGGATTTCGACTCGATTAGATTCGATTCGATTCGAGAGGGGGAGGAGAGAGCGATGGGGGATTATCTGGGTCCGGGGGGACTCTTATAGAGGGGGAATGGAAATGGGGCTCGGGATGGTAGAGTGATGGAGGGGTTTCGGGGGTGAAGAGGGGGATCCGTGCGTTGAGGGACGGGATCGGTTCGATTTTCAATTGACGGTCGAGATTCGTTTTAGATGGTTGGCGTGGATCGATGAGCTGGCAGCAGCGGAAAGCCAGCGGGCTGGCTGGGTAAGGAGTGCAGGCGGGAAGGCCCGGGAGGGGCAATGGGCTGTTTAGGGCCCGTTTGGCTCAATATGCTCAGTACATATATACTACTAGTGTGAATATCGTGTTTGCTTTTTGCATATCCTTTAATATTTTTTCCCCGTTACAGTAGTCCCGCTTTTAAATGCTATAATATTTTTTGAATTGCTACAGTACACCACTCTGCTACAGTGGTTTTTTAAAAAAACTAGTATGGTGCACATACTTTACACGTGTAACTATTTTCATACTTAATTTAAAAATAAAGGTTAAATTATAAATTCCTTGAAAATTGTATTTAATGTAAAACTCTATTTTTGGTATTCAAAATAATTTTGTGGGATTTAGAGGGCTAACCATTGTTTTGAAACTAAACCTCTTCTCTTCTTTCTTTCTTTTACTGCAGTTATTACTCTTTGGCTGCAAGAATTAATGATATTGAATATAATGTTATGCGCATTAAAAATTAACATTTTACAAATCTTTCATGAGGTTGTTATGATATAATTGACCTATTTCAATTTTTAATCATTTCTTTCTCAAAAAGAGAAAAATATTACACATGAATAAAGAATACATTGATTAATGATATTGAATATAATGTTATGTATATAAAATCCACATTAATTACTAAGAATAAAGAATACATTGATTAATGATATTGAATATAATGTTATGTATATAAAATCCACATTAATTACTAATTCTTAATCTTGCTTTCCTTAATGATATTGAATATAATGTTATGTATATAAAATCCACATTAATTACTAATTCTTAATCTTGCTTTCTCTCTTCTCTCTAAGAGTCTTAAAAGAAATCAAAGAGAATATACTTTTTGTTTTTTGTTTATGTCTAAAATATTGTATAAAGAATGAGATCTTTTACATGCAATTTTTTTATTATTTCATAAGAATTTAGAAAAAAATTTGAATTAAATTAAAATTTAATTCAAATATTAATAAGTAAAGGATAACAAAAGCAAGTTAGATAAAATCCGAAAGAAAATATACTCACATGCATTACTCGATCTCACAAGGTGCATAATAGCATTTGAAACTATTTATTTACGTCATCAAACTATCAATTCAAGTAATAAGACATCGCAGTTCTAACATTTGGGAGAATAACAAAATTTCCTGATGTTAGGATTTATAGATGCAATATATACAAATTCCATGGAACCAAAAGCACATTACAATTTTATTTTCTTTCCATCTCATATAAACCCTTTTTCTTCATATTCTCAATCTTAGGCCAAGTATTAGACCTTAATTAACTTCTTATTACAATTCCAAAATGAACAACAACAAATTATCATTAACCTTTAATTCCGAACAATCCAAATTATTAATTATTAAGAAATAAGTGAGGAGGAAACTTACATGCATACATCAATTAATCATTTGAAATAAAGATTTCTCTTCAACAAAGATTAATCTGGATCTCTTCTTCTGTTTGAAAAGAATGGGTAATTGAAATAAAATTCCAATTGATGGCATGATTTTTTAATTATTTCTAAATATACATATTTTACTAACTTTTTAATGCATTGCTTCCTTTCTTTTCTTGTCCTTGCTCTGTTATCTCTTCTTCTTTATTTTTTATAAGATTCAAGTGTAGAGAATTGATGTATTTAGTATTTGATTTCATAATTGATTTTTCCTTAATGAAAAAACCTCATAATATTTTCACTACTGAACGCCTCATTATAATTCATAATGAAAATGCCTAAATGTGTTAAAACGGCCAATATTTTTTTCTTCTCATTCAAATGCTCAACGTGCTTAATTAATCACATACTATTAATTTAGATTCAAAATGCTAGATTTAGTACAAGTACATATCCAACTATAGTATGGAATATGAACAAAATAAGATTTAGTTAACATAAAAGAAGCGTGCTCTGACTTTTTAGGATCTTTTATGTATTTATCAAACTACACAATACAATATTTTTCTAATTAATATATTATATAATAGTTATACTATTGTCTAAAACTTTAAATTAATGTGATTTAATAAGAGGGGGTTATGAAAAGAATGTGAAGAGGTATAATGTGTGTGTGTGTATCTATATGTATGATGTGTTTGATTTGAATGGGTAAGGTTCATGTATGTATATATTTGTATCATTTTTTTCTTCATATTAAGAAATAAAGAATAAAAAAGCAAGTCAGATAAATTCCGAAAGAAAATATACTCACATGCATTACTTGATCTCACGAGGTGCATAATAGCATTTGAAACTATTTATTTAGTTCATCAAACTATCAATTCAAGTAATAAGACAATCGCAGTTCTAACATTTGGGAGAATAACAAAATTTCCTGATGTTAGGATTTATATATGCAATATATACAAATTCCATGGAACCAAAAGCATATTACAATTTTCTTTTCTTTCCATCTCATATAAACCCTTTTTTCTTCTTCATATTCTCAATCTTGGGCCAAGTATTAGACCTTAATTAACTTATTATTACAATTCGAAAATGAACAACAACAAATTATCATAAACCTTTAATTTCGAACAATCTAAATTATTAATTATTAAGAAATAAGCGAGGAGGAAACTTACCTGCATACATCAATTAATAATTTGAAATAAAGATTTTTCTTCAACTAAGATTAATCTGGATCTCTTCTTCTGTTTGAAAAGAATGGGTAATTGAAATAAAATCCTAATTTATGGTATGATTTTTTAATTATGTCTAAATATACATATTTTACTAACTTTTTGAAACATTGCTTCCTTTCTTTTCTTGTCCTTGCTCTGTTATCCCTTATTCTTTGTTTTTATAAGATTCAAGTGTAGAGAATTTATGTATTTAGTATTTGATTTTATAATTGATTTTTTCCTTAATGAAAAAACCTCATAATATTTTTACTACTGAACACCTCATTATAATTCATAATGAAAATGCCTAAATGAGTTGAAACGGCCAAGATTTTTTGTCTTTGCATTCAAATGCTCAACGTGCTTAATTAATCACATACTATTAATTTAGATTCAAAATGCTAGATATAGTACAAGTACATATCCAACTATAGTATGGAATATGAACAAAATAAGATTTAGTTACCATAAAAGAAGCGTGCTCTGACTTTTGAGGATCTTTTCCAGTAGCTAAAAAGATTAAGATTGAAATGTTAAATAAAATAAGTATGTACATATCAAACCACATTATATAATTGTAGGTGTGAATTTCTGATCTCCCGAAACAGGGATTTCGTTTGTATTGATAAGAATAGCTTATTATAAACTAATGAATCGAAAATTACAACAGAAGCGGAGGGAATGCCCTCCTTGTTTAACGTGGGGACTTTCGGTAGCTATAGGACGCTTCGCTTGGTTCTCACACCGAGTCTGCTTCCCTTGGACGATTCGACCGAGGTTGCTGGCGAGCTTCAGTACGCAGTAGAAACACGGATCGATGGAGTTCGAGTCTCCGAGTTTGATGGAAATTAGGGCCCGAAACTGGGAGAGGAGGCTGCAGTGCAAAGGTTATGCAAAGAGCTTGTCGTCAACTCTCTTGAGAGTCGAGAGCCAGTGGTTCAGTTAACTGATTGAATTAATCAATTAGCTATGAGCGAACCGCTGAACCCCTTTTCTGAAGCCAGGAGAGGTTCTTAAATAGAGGAGAGACGACGTGGCTGCTCCTTGAATCATGGGATATGACCATGTCCTGGGTTTGTATTGTGAGCGGCTGCTTGATGGGTTCGGAGTACTGTACTCCTTCCCTTCACGTCGCGAGGAGTAGGATGACCCTCCTTGTACGTGGGATAGTGGCTGTTCATTCCCTTCACGTCGCGAGGAGTAGGATGACCCTCCTTGTACGTGGGTTAGCGGCTGTTCAGCACTCGAGTGGGTTTAGCCAGCTTGCCGTTTGTAGGCGGATTCAACTCTTGACTCGTGCAGGCGAGGCGAGCTTCCTGCAGACAGATCTGGAGAGTGACCGGTCACTCGTACTGTGAGCGGTTACTTGATGGTTTTGGAGTACTATTCTCCATCCCTTCGTGTCGTACGGGAAGTAGGAAGCCCATCCCTGTACGCAGCGTAGCGGTTGTCGAGTACTCAAATGAGTCCGGTCAGCTTGCCGTTTGCAGACGGATTTAACTCTTGACTCATGCAGGCGAGGCGAGCTTCAACCTTGAGCGTGCAGGCGGATTTGATGGCTGCATAGATTTGACTGGTTGCGGCTATTTGATGGGCTTGGAGTACTGTTCTCCATCCCTTCACGTCATGAGGAGTGGGATGGCCCCTCATTGTACATGGGGTAGCGGCTCTCGGATACACTGTTTGTGGGCGAATTTGGCTATCGGCTCGTGCGGGTGAGTCGATCATACAAGCGGATTTGTGATAAACAAATGCGAGCGAATTTGGGTTTGCGTTGGTGAGTCCAGCCCATAGGTTAGCCCCCGTCCTCAAGATCGGTGGACGACCCTGACTCGCTGGCGAATTTCTCGTAGGCCTGCAAAGGTAATTTTTATCGTCTATAAGACCCCCTTCAAAAGTTTTCAGACCTAAACTGGCTTGCGTGTGGTCTGGAA